GGTGTAGAGTGAAGTAAAATGTTTTTTATCAAATTTGCCCCTTATTTTCAAAAATCAACTTCAACAAACAATCTCAAGCTGGAAAGATCTCCAAATTAAAAAAAGTAAATAAAACAAAATAATAAAAGAAAACATTTTATTATTTTATCCTAAATAACTAATATGTCTAATTTAGTTACAAAACAATTTCAGATAACTAGAATATAAGTGTGGTGAAGCTAAATAAATGATAGATCGGCCTGCCATACAATGAGCTTCTGACCCGCGGCTGCTGCTCCACTCTCATCTTCATCATCATCTTCATCAAAGCAGAAGCCGACATTAGCAAGATGGATTTATGACTGAACGAATGTCCACATATTTTTTTTCACCTCTGCGGGTAACAATACATTWAAAAAAAAAGGGTTTTACCTGCCCCGGGCAGTCGGGCAATAGGATTTGTCGAGCCCTGGATATCTGGGCCTCTCTGCTCAAGCTGCTGTTTCTGTAACAAGTGGCAGATAATGGATGGATAGAAGTATGTTGAAAAAGAGCATGCAAACATTTGGACTAATTCCAGCAAATACACTTTTTCTCTTTCAGAGACTTCTTGTGAGCAAAATCTGGATGAACCCATTGAGTCCGTTGGGGCCAAAGACACCTTAGCAGTGCTGAACAGGCAGCCCTCTGCTGAGAACACAGAAGCTGGTGAGGACATGAATAACACACATTCTGGTTTGGAAGAGGCAACAGCAGAAGTTGAAGAAACGAAGGAGCACGGGTCAGAAGATTCTGATGGAGAACTAGAAGAGGCAAACAATGGAACAAAAGTTGATGGAGAAAATTCAAAGCTCTTTGAGCTTTCCACTTCTTTGGAAGCGTTGTATGAGACCAAGGTTGAGGATGCAGAGCAGCCTCCAACCAGCCTCAGGCGACGCAATAGGCCTGAATGAACTCAACACTGGAACTTTTTCACTTACACAAACATGACAGTTTATTAGGAATATTTAATATCTAAATGACTACAGGGTGATGATTTAATTATAACACTAATAGTGTAAACAAAAGGCTCGGGCCGGGCCGGCCTGGCATCCGACCTGGGTTCAGCGTGTTTGCGTTAGCCCTTATGGCCCAGGTCTACACTGATTTCTGGAACCCTGGAGACACATGGTTCTCTCTTTGTAATCACTTGCAGCAACTAATGTTTTTTTCCATGAGTTCAACTAAACGACAAAAATAATGAGCTACCAACAAGCTAACYTTAGCTACAATTAGCTTACCATTCTCCATTGTCCTACCCTCCATTAGTGCCATACTGCTGGATGATCCGATACAGCCTTTGGTACTTTTCCTTCGAGTTTTGTGTAGTTGTTGTATCACAAATAAAACAAACAAAGATTGCGTGTTTTTAATATTATGATCCCACCCACATCGAGGCAGCTCTCTGTTCAATGCAAACAATGAGGGCCAGGATAGAATGGGMCCAGGCCTGACTGGAGCCAGGGTGGCCGAGCGGAGCCTTACAATGCAAACATTTCCAAAGAGCTCAATTTTCATGTTCCATCATAAAGATAAGCTCACTGATTATGGAAAATATTTAATATATTGTTCAGTGAAATTAAATATTGTGAAAGGTCGGGATCGTATTTAATTGATCGACAGTAAATTGGGAGAAAAGATGCAAAAAAGAATCATTATTTATCCTAGTCTAAATAACATTCTTAGTCAACATAAAAATACTTTCATGTAACAAATAGAAATAACAATTTGAAGATTTGCTATTCACAATGTACTAGTAAAATATAAGACAATGTCTAGAATCCCCTAAAACGTTTAAGTGGTTGATTAAACATTTTTTAGCATTTTGGATATGTTTTACACARGTCTATGATAATTTATTATATCTGAAACTAATTTTTCTTCACCACATTTAGAAACACGCTTCTTTATAAAATTATTATTTAGATTCAATACAATTCAGTTTATTTATATGGCACTAATTCATAATGAAAGTTATCTCAGGTCTCTGTGCAAAAACATTCACATAGATTGTAAAAGCCAATTATTAAAAATTATCAATTTAAGGAATGGTGAATGGACTGTACTTATAGTGCCTTCCTATCCAACCAGAATATTCAAGCTCTCAATCTGTCCTCATTCATTCATTCATTCATTCATTCAGCACTCTACTAGATCTCTCTACAAAGCTAATGCAGATAAATCCATTTATAGAGACTAAGTGTTTTAGATCACATCCATACACTGTTGGGACACACTGGGGGTTCAGTGTCTTGTCCAGGGACACTTTGGCATGTGACTGAGTAGCGGTGGAATCAAACTACCAACTCTCACGTTAGAGGAACGACTCCCCTAACCACTCAGCCTGCAAATTGTGTTGAATCTTCACTTCATCACAGTCTCCCATCCTGAGCAGCACATTGGCAACCGTGGAAAGCAAAAACTCTTTAACAGAAAGAAATCTTCAGGATGTGAGACTGTGATGGAGTGAAGATTCAACACAATCTGCTGGTTTCCTTAGTTTATTTAATTTTTTTATATGGAGCCCTGAGACAACATTTATTGTGACTTGGCAAATATATATATAATATTTAACACAGGCAAATACTTTCTTGAAGTTTAACTAAAAACCTTTATTGTAAAGCCTTTTTATGCAAAGAGACACGATACAGCTGGATGCTATTTAAACTAGAGATGTTACAAGTAACAATAAAGTTAATCTTAATCTTGATGTGACAATTGTGATTGAATCTTTTGAACGGCTCCTTACTGCAAAGGGCAGGAACCAAGTCGAGGACAGTAAAGAGCTGTTTGTAGTTTTTATTTTTATTATTTTTTTTAGTCTGTTATATCTTTTCTTCCTCTTTAACCACAGAGAAAGTTGCTCCTACTTCGCTTTTTCATGATAAAATGGGCAGAGAAGTGGAGTACAGTAGATCAGGGGGCTCTACTTAAAGCAGATCGTTCCACCCACGTGTATTTCCTTACATGATGACGTAACTCGTTAAAAATCTAACAGTTCTTTTGAACGGCTCTATCTAACCGCTTGTCAAGATTTGGACATACCTGCAAGCTCAGAAGGGATGAATCGGTGACCAAATTAGTGCAGAGGGGGCTGTATTCAAAAATCTACTTAAAACTACSTATTTTCCAGCCATTTGAATTTCTCTGTTCTAAGTACTTAGGATTAATAACGTAATATTGTTGTTTTTTTTATTAAAAGATAGAGCAGTGACTTACAACTTCTTTTTTACTAAACATCACGAGTTTATAACACAACGGGCTACCTTGAGAAATCTAACACACCAAATACACATACAACTTGGTTGATTCTTTATAGCAATGGTTCCCAAACTTTTTATCTTCTGACCCACAAAATATCCACGGCAAAAAACTTGTGACCCCAAATATTACTGGTCTGAGGACACGAGCTTCGTTAATAACCCTAAAAACACAGGCTTTTTGACAATCTAAACAGTTTGTAAACAAATATAAGTACTTACTTATAGTTATTTTGTGTTTTTGTAATATTTATAGGGGAAAATATGACATCGTCAATTATTTTATTACCCTTTAAATTGATTTCTGGAGATTATCCAAGGTGCTTCATGACCCATAATTG